CTTAGCTGTAGAGGGCGCAGCGTCACTGGCCCTCATGTGGGATCCGAACCGGGGCCCTGCTGCTCAGAGCTGGTGTCCCAAGCCAACTCCTAACCAACACGCCACTTGGCCGGCCCCGCCAGCAAAATTTTTTAACTTAGGTAAACTAGACAAAGCCCTTAAAAGACACAAGCTACCAAGCTCACTCCATAAGAAATAGATATCCTGAGTAGCCCTATTTCCATTAAGCTGAATTTCCAGTAAAAACCATTCCCATAAAGAACACTCCAGGCTTACCTGATTTCATTGTGAATTCTATCACACATTTGAAGGAGAAATAATACCAATTCTACACAAATTTTTCAGAACACTTTCCAACTGACTCTGTCAGGCCCGGCATCACCTTGATACCAAAACCACACAAAGACATATTACACAATATTACAAAAAACAAACACACAAACAAACAAAAAACAATACTGCTCATGAACACACATGAAAAAACACTTAACAAAAGTTTAGCAAATATCAAGCAATATATAAAAAGAATAACACGTCATGACTGAGAGGGTTTCTCTCAGGAATGAAAGGTTATTTAGCATTCAAAAATCAATAAATATGATTCACCGTATCGAAATAAGGAGGGGAAAGTGTGGAATCACTTTAATAGATGCAGAAAAAGCATTTCACAAAATTCAACAACCATTCAGGAAAAAACGCACTCAGCAAATTAGGAAAAAAGGGAACATCCTCAACTTGATAAGGAACATCTAAAATAACTCACCACTAACATCAAACATAATGCTGGAAGACTGACTGTTTTTCTCCTAAGATCAGGAACAATGCAAGGATGCTACTCATGCACTCTTACTGAATACTGTACTGGGAGCTCTAACCAGTGCAATAAGGAAGAAAAGGGAAAAAATGAAAACACATACATTGGAAAAGAAGGAAAAAAGCATTTGACTGCATGACCCCCTTAGTCATGACATAATTGCACGTTGCCAGATTAGATTCCTCTCTTTTTAGTGGAGCTATCTCAAGCATACAGAACAGTTCAGAGAATACAAAGAACCACGTCTGTCATCTTGACCAAGATGTCAATCTTCTACTTTAGATCTTTACTTTTTAAAAATTGTTTTTAGAGTTTCAGAAGATGGTGGCAGTGGCAGTACAGTGTTTGAATCCTTTTAAATCTCTCTCTGAACCCCATACAAAAAAATTAACTAGAGCAACTAGGCGAGCAAAACCCTAACCCCAGGATGACAGCCACAACAAAACGAGGTAACAAGATAAGCCCACAAAACTGAAAATATAAGCGGGTAGGACTGACATGGACAGAATGCCTGGTATCAGCATGGACCATCTGCCAAACCTGAAACTCCCAGAAGAACCAACATGGACTCACTAGAAAGCTCAAAAGGCCAATTTCAGAATAGCAGCTGAAACCATGGGGAGTTCTGCACACTTTAATCCTTAAAAATTCTCCACTCTAACCGTCCCAAACTATCCTTCAGAACAAGTCTCACACTAAGAAATCTGTAGAAATCAGAACCCAAACTGAGTACCACAGATTATCAGAAATTAAAACAAAAGTCCAGATAAAAGCAAGAGAGGGGAGGGGCCGGCCGAGTGGCTCAGTTGGTTAAGAGTGCGAGCTCTGAACAACAGGGTTGCCGGTTTGATTCCCACAAGGACCAGTGAGCTGTGCCTGAGCTGAGCTGCCAACAGGTGGCAGGATGGCTCAGCTGTTGAGAACACGTGTTCCTAACAATAAGGTTGCCAGTTCAACTCCCACATGGGATGGTGGGCTGCACCCCCCGCAACTAAGATTGAACACAGCGCCTTGAGCCGAGAGGCAGTGGCCGATGGGCGACTGGATGGCAACTGGACTTGGAGCTGAGCTAGCTGCACCCTCCACAATGAAGACTGAAGGATAACAACTTGGCTGTGGCCCTTCCCCAATTCCCCAATAAAAAAAAAAAATCTTAAAAACAAAACCAAAAACCCCTTAGACTGAATTTTAATTGGAATACTTACAATGCCAATGTACCAAAATAGAATACAAAGGTAGCATATAGCATAAAGGTCTGACAATTAAGTTTGAAAATTCATTGTAACGGTGTTGCTAACCTTTTTTGGTATCAGAGGGATTATTCATTATGAATTTGTACCAACTGGACAAGCAGTTAACCAAGGTTACTGTTTGGAAGTGCTGAAAAGGCTGCGTGAAAAAGTCAGACGACGTGAACTTTTCGCCAACAATTCATGGCTCTTGCATCACGACAATGCACCAGCTCACACGGCGCTGTCTGTGAGCGAGTTTTTAGCCAGTAAACAAATAACTGTATTGGAACACCCTCCCTACTCACCTGATCTGGCCCCCAGTGACTTCTTTCTTTCTCCGAAGATAAATGAAATATTGAAAGGAAGACATGTTGATGACATTCAGGACATCAAGGGTAACATGACCTCAGCTCTGATGGCCATTCCAGAAAAAGAGTTCCAAAATTGCTTTGAAGAGTGGACTAGGCACTTGCGTTGGTGCAAGGCTTCCAAAGGGGAGTACTTCGAAGGTGACCATAGTGATATTCAGCAATGAGGTATGTAGCACTTTTTCTAGGATGAGTTCGCAAACTTAATTGACTGATCTCATATAATTCACAAGGTAATACGGATTTCCTAATTCTGTCCACTAAAGGCCTAGAAAGAATGGCTAACCCGGTAGTAACGTGCATCCCTAGCACCCAGACTAAAATTCCATTTCCCACAAAAAGAATTCAGGCTTCTTAGAGAAATGGCTGATTCCAGATCTGGGGCAGATAATGTACAAGATGAACCCAGAAGTCATCTCCTCGTGGGTGATGGCTTGGAAGCTATCAGGCTTTAGGCTCAGGAAAGGCTCCCACTGGTCAAAGATGGGACAATGGGAATACCAAAAAAGAGAATCGCAATGTTTTGAAACACATTAAATGTATTTAACTCTATGAGTTCAAAATAATACTAAAAAACAATAATAATAATCGGTCGCCTTAGAAGGATGATAGAAAAGCAACTTGTATTTTGAAAAAGGTGCCCTTTCCTATATAAACTGTACCACTGTGCAACCAAGAAGGGTTGAGGGAAAGGTTCTTTCTACCGTATTTTACCAAGTATAATGCATACATTTTTGCCCAAATTTGTGAGGGAAAAATAAGGATGCACATTATACATGGGTAGTACTAATTCCGTATCCATATAAATGTTTTTAATTCTTTTATTTATGCTTATGAATTAAAAGTGTAACTCTAGAAATCAACAGCAATATCCGTATGCAAAATAATACCCTGGAATACGATCATCAGCTTTGTTGAACTTACGACAAACTTGCTACTATGAAGAGTTCTTGGCCTTCTATGATGTGTAAATATCATAAATTTGTTGCCGGTACATACAATTTTTTGTACTTTGTGTCTATTCTTGTGTTTTGTAATTATTTGTTACATAAAATTTCTTGTACCATAATGTGTTAAAAACTAAATGCTAAAATTCCTTTATAATACAAAAAACAAGTACCTAAATGTAAACAAATAAAAATTTGAATTACAAAATTAAAATGAAAGATTTTTTCCCCTGAAAGTTTGGGCCCAAAATGTGGGTGCACATTATATACGGCAAAATATGGTCTGTGTGCATGTAGAGAGCTGACTTTCAACAGATCAACAAGGAAGTTGCTCTGCCAAGAACCAAACCCCAACACAAAAGCAGGTCATCCACAAATGGTTTAGCGCCAGGTTCCCCAGAATTTGCATTGAGTGACAGGACCTCCTTTCTGGTCACACCCCATTTCCCAGAGAAGTTTCTCTTTACACCCCGGAGATGGAAATGAAATCAGGAATAAGCAAAATTCAGATGGTAGCAAACTCCACTGGTCAAAAACCCATTGTCTTTAAAGTACAAGGAGAAAAAAGAGAGAGATGGAGGGGTAACTTGTAGCTTTAAAAAGGCTGTTCCCAACACTGTTCCAATTTCCCAATAAAATCTTTAAAAAAAAAAAAAAAGGCTTAAGAGATGTTAAGTCAAAACAAACAAAAGCTAACCCAAAATATTGAGGGATGACCTTTTAGGTGATGAAACTATAAAGAAAAGCAAGGCAGTGAAGGATTCCTGTGTAAGTCCAGATGGCGATGCTTCACCTGGGCACTGATTATAATGGACTCAAATTAGAATCGCTCATAAATTATATGTCACCTGTTCTATGCTATCTATATATGTTATACTTTACAACAAAGGTTAAAATTGGTTTTAAAATTTTTATTTTTTAGAAATAAACTATTAGATACAAATAAAAATATTTAGATTTCTTCCTTTCTTTTTTTGGTGTGGCATTATTAAAACAAAATTTCCTTTCTCTCTGATTAGAAGACAATATGCAAGTAAATACATTACATTATTCTTTTATTATCTAATTCTCATGAAATATCACTGGAATCCACTAAGAATCCATGTGAAAGCATGAAAACCTTATTGACTACCATTTGACTTAAGGATGGAGGTTTGAGCTCGTCAATTAAATGCTATTCTTAATGCTCTCTAGACATTAATGATAGATCACGCTGGTGAATGTCAGTTGACTTCTAAGAATACCAGGGGATGGACAGGTAAACTGCAAACACCAGGTGATGTCATGGAAGCCAGTACCTTACACTGATGGGTCAGAAGCTGACTATCGAGCTAGAACCTACAGCAGGGATGGATCCAGGGCTCAGTACATGGCAGGACTTGATGCTCAAGTGACCCTCAGTCACTTGCAAAGGTCACCTTTCTTTGCTCACATTCACCCACCCAACATTTCTCCTCTGGCTTGCTTTTGGAATTTATGTTTCTCATTCATCTGTGAGCAGCAGTGAGGAATAATGGGTAAGAAATGTTGGCTTGGCTGAAATGAGTTCAGGCACAATTGACGTGTTACTCCACAAGCATTATTTTTGATTAGTTCAATTCACAAAGGGTCTGATAAGCCACATGAAAAGTCACCTGCCTGAGAAATAACAGTCTCACTGGCTCATAAAATGGAGCCCTCCACATTCAAGATACGTCCAGGTTTAGGCCTCTTTTTTCACTATAGCTAAAACATTAATTTTCAAAAAACTCTAATCTATGTATCACACAATAGTGTGTGCCCATCTATTTCCCATGTCAGGAAACTTCTTCTGGAAAATGACAGAATACGGACAGAGTCAGGAAGTACTCACTCATGTTCAGGGCTGCCATCCCTCCTTGGGGGGCTGCTGGGTAGACATTCGGCACATTCGCGGTCATGAAGTCTGCAATCTGCTGCAGCGCCAGCAGGCCTGTGGGGTTCTTGCCCTTCTTGAATTGCTCCTGTATCATTGATTCCAATTCTTCACAGAAAGCCTAATAAGGCAAATTCAAACAGTAAGACCCCCTTTCTTTTCTGTAGAAGGCAGGGGTAACTTTCACAGAGACTGATCTTTTCTTTGTTTTCATCCAGTGCTAGAAAAGCAAATGGATGTTCTCATACACTGCTACTTGAAGCATAAATTGGCACATTCTTTCTGGAAAGTAACAATATAAAAGCTTAACAACTTCAACAGGAATTCTGTTCTTAGGAATCTTTTCCAATGAAATAATCAGCGATGTGCTCAAAGATTTATTCATAAGGATGTTCATTCCAGCAGTACTGATAAAAGGGAAAACAGGTTAACAGTCTGCATTTTAAGCAGCAGAGGGCTGATGAAATACACGACCCGTCTGACAATGGAATTCTATGCACACATTTAACAGGAGAGGCCAAAAAAATTTAAATGACATAAAATTGCTCTTGATATATATTTGAGTTAAAAGGTTATAAAGCAATACAATCAGTTTTTATAAGAGTAGTAAATACTTATGTAAACATTGAAAAAGGCTACAAGTAAATACATCAAAGTGTTCACTATAATTCTCTTAGTGACAGAATGATTAGGGATTTTCACGTTCTACTTTATGCTTCTCAGTATTTTCTTCATAATTCGCTTTTTGAAATTACTGTTTTAAAGTTGAAAAGGGAACCCCAAAACATTTGTCCTTCATCAAATAATCCTAAATTAGGCAGAAAGGTTAAGTTGGGTTATGATTTTAACATAAAGTCACTACTGAACAATACATATAATTTAGTTTCCCCAAACTGTATTAAAATGATTTTTCACATACCCTATAAATAAACCTTTTCAAATAATTATAAGTAATACGAGCTTGCTGATTATCCAGATCTGATTATAAGCACCAAGGGCTTCTGGATGGTTCTGTATTAACCTTGTTTCTAGTTTCTCACTGCTTGAGCTGAAAAGGTACACTGCCAGTGACAGCCTACGTGTACCTATCACATGAGGGAAGCGAGCAACAGCAAGCGTAAAGGTGTTAGTTTGACAATATAAAGGAATGTCAAGGAGCCTGTCGCCCCTATTACGTGACATAAAGTTATAGGTCGTGTTTTGTGCTAATCAGGGAGGAGGGAAAAACTGACGGGGACTTTGAGGGCAGGAATAAATGAAGTAAACCACCAGACATGGTTTGGGGCCATCTGCTGGCAATGCAGAATGCACTGATATGGATGGATATGCACAGCTACAGAGACAGACAGACAGCCCCTCCTATACACCAGAGTGCTGGCACAGGGAGCACAACAGCTGAATTCAACAAGCTCCCTGCCCTCGTGGGCCCTCCATCTGAAAAGTCAACCCATGCCAATGGCTTGCAAATCTACACACAAAATCTATGGGGAGCTCAATTCCACACACACCATAACATGTACCACATACTCACACTGCACTGTAATTCAGCACACACATACCTCAACACACAGAATACCAGGCACTGACTCTATACAGATGGGAAAGATGGTCCCTGTTCTCCAGGAGCTTAAGCTTACTAAGGACAACACAAACAGGAAAAAAATGACGGTACAAGGGGCCCTCTGTATCAACGGCATTTCAGATGACCTGTACGTGCATTAAGGAGCTGAGCTTAGCAGTGACAGTGAGGGCCTGCAGCCACCCATCTGGATCCCAGGGTTTGGCTCCAGCTAGCAGTCACCGGCCAATGACCCTGCATGCCTCCTTGGTCCTAATTCCCAACGGTTCAGCTTCCACACACTCACCTCCCAACTTCCTGGCCGCCTCTCCTCCAATGACCCTGACATCCAATTCACCTCGGCCTCCCAAATCCACGGTCACACCCTAGACCTGCTCATTCCGAATAACTGCGCCCCTCTTCGATCTCAGAGCCAAGCATGTGCTCTCCAAACATCCCCTCCTGCCGTCCAGCTCACCCTTTCTTCCACCCATCTGCCGTGACCCTAACAACCGTTCACCGTCCCTTACCTTCTGGGTGTCCTGACCTCCCTCACCCAGCTTAGACCCTTGGTTGAACATTATAATCATTCCTCTGCTTACATCTTCAACTCTACCATTTAACCTGGCAAAACCCCAGCTCTGGGTAACTCCAACTCCTCACCCCTCCTACTCATGCTGCTGAAAGTGGCTGGAGGCAAAAACAAGACCACGCTGTGTTGGCTCATGGTGAATTCGTGCCCACTGACCTGGGTGTGCCCTTCGCGGGGCCCAGCAACTATGGTTGACTTTCCTTGCCCAGACCCTCACCCACTCCGTGCCTTCTCTCCATCCTTCTCCAAAGTCCTGCACGATCCCTGAGCCCATTCTCGGCAGGTGACTTCATGTGCTGTTTGTTGTACTGAGAACAGAGTCAGTGTGAACAAAACCTTCCCAAGTTCCCCTCGCATCTATCCACTATCAGCATCAGTGCCCACAGGGCGGGCCTTCCCACTGCTCACCATGGGTGAACTATCCATGCTCCAAAAACCAAGAAACCCACAGCAGGTACATCACTGTTAGCAAGGCCCAGGCCACAGCAGTCTTTGCACTCACGTTCTCGCCCTGCTCGCGGAGCCCGCCCACACTGCATTAGGTCAGTAACTGTGATCCAAACAACCTGTGGGTAGGGACTTGACCATCTTGGCATCCCCGACCCCTAGCACAGTGTCTGACGCACACGGGTGCTGTAAGTTTAGTTCCTTCCCTCTATCCCTCGTGATTCTCACTTAGTTTCTTGTTGCTTTTATGCAGGAGTACTGCTCAAGTCCAAAGTATAGATGCTATCCTGATTCTTCTTCTCACCTCTTCCTCCCCACCCATCAGCAAGTCCTGTTTCTCCCACATTCAACATAAAACTCTCTCCACCTCTACTAGTGGTGCCCTGACCCAGGCCCCCATCACCTCTTGTTAGAAGACGGCTCTCTCTGGCCCCACCCACTTGCTCTCTCTATACCAAACCCAGACCGAGTTCTTCAACAACTCAGTTGTGTCATTCCTCTCTGCAGTCCTGCAGTGACTCCCTACTGTACTCTGGATGCAAAACAAGCTCCTGATCTGAGCTTACCCAGCCTTCCAGGACCTGCTCCGCCTCCTCACGAACCTCACTGCACCTCCCTCCTGCCGCCTCCTCATCTCAAACCCACCGCTGCTTTTGGACTCTTCCCGCCCATCAAACTCACCCCTATCCTAGGAATTGCACGTTAGCTTCTCCCTCAACCTGGACTACTCCGTCCCATCCCTGCACAGCCGCCCACCCCTCCCCATCACCCAGTCAGATGCAGTCTTCCTTCCTCAGAGAGGTCTAACCACATCATTCTCAGTCCAATCACCCAACTGTTTCCTACACCGCGCTTCTCTTTGTTGTCAGTTGTTTATGTCCTCTGACTAAAATGCAAAGTCTGAGACTTGACCTGGGTGCTGACATAGGTGTTACACATATGTCAAAATTTATCAAGCTGTACACTTAAGATCTGTGTACTTTACTGTATGTTATACCTCAGTAATATGTGAGTAGTAACAACTAAACAAATAAAATCTCTTCGAGTTAGAGGCCTTGAATATCTCGTTTGCTAAATCCTCAGTTTCTAGGAGAGAATAAACATTTAAAAAATTCACTGAATAACCTCCAAACGACACCCCAAAATATTAAGGGAATACAGTAAGAACAGACTAGAAGGATGAATGAAGCACACACAAGGGCAGCAGCATCAACAGGAGAAAACATAAAGACAGCACTCCTTCACCGAGAGGGGCAAACAGAAGACACTTAGTTGTGGTTCAAATGCTGATCAACCAATAAATCAGGTACGGCTGAGGCCTACTACGTGCCCAGCACCAAGCTAGGTATTTTGGAGGAAATAGTAAGTTTTAAAAGGTCCCAGTAAATACTCTCTGGAGAAGCCGTGAGGGAGTAAAAACAAATAAACACCCCCCCCCTTTATGATAGATACTGAGAACTTGAACTAAACTGAATTCTTCCAACAGCGATACACATGTGTATGAAGCACTGGTGTCCTGTGTTAAGATAAACTGACTGACACATACGACAGAGCACCAGAGCTGAAGTGCTGGAAGGAGAAAGAGCTCCTCAGAGAGGAAGCTGCTCTTACGGGACTTTGCAGAATCATGGACACCCTCTTTTTTTGCTCCATCATGTTGAAGTCCTGGCGAAGGTCTGGTGCCATGTTCCTCTCTCGCAGGTATTCTGGACTGTTCTCATCCACCCTGTCGAAGTACCTCTCTTTGTGAGGGGCTGTGGTTGGGGGTGGTGAGGTCACCACTGCGGCCCGAGTATCACCATTCATGGCACAATCTTTCTAGGCTCCTACAGAATCAAAATAAAAGAAAGTATTGTTTTTGAATCAATGTCCAATAGCATTTCACAATGAGCACGTCAGCATAATAAATACAATTTTCCGCGTGAGGACACTCTGACTAACCAGTTGGGACCGTGACCTGTGAGGCTTCTTTGTGGCCACTGAGGCACATGGCTAACCAGCCCTCTCCTGCTCTTCCACTACCCAATGGCATAGCTCATCCTTGTTGCCATTCTTCTTCAGCAGACAAGGAGAGCAAGCTAATGAAGCTATTATGTCCTCTGACACACTGAGAATGACCCAGGTATTAAACATCAGACCACAAGATAAGTTTAGTCATGATACTGTCCCACCCCAACAGGATCTCCTAATAGCACAGTTTGTTTCTGGAGAAATAGGATTTATGATATTTTTCCGAAAGAGTTATCAGTAGTGATTTTGCAAAGCATTCCTCAAGCAGATCAATGGAGAAGCTGCTCACACATCTGTGTTCGGGCAAATGGGAAAGGCCCCTCATCAACACCACCTTGTGATTAAAAGAAAACAGCAGGTGCCCCAGGCTGTGAACAACCTAAAAAATGCCTAAGGGGTTAACATGGCTACTTCCTTTTTAATCCGTGTCTTTTGTGAAATGTTGTTCAAACATACTAAATTATGTTCACTTTTAACTACTGAATCTCTAAGCAGCACCTTCAGTAATCATACAAAAAGTTCAATTTTGGTTCTGTTCCTATACAGCAGTGGCTGCAGTTTAACAATCTAAACGCAGTATTTACTGAGTATCTACTGTGTTCAGGCACAAATGAATCAGATGTGGCCCTCACTTCGGGGAAGCTGGACTCCGTGTACCGGGGAGACAGACACGGGGCAAGGTGGAGGTGCTGACTGGGACGCGAGTCTTCAGACTGGCCGGCACAGGAATACAGACTGAAGAGGGGAAGCAGAAGTAGAAGCAGCAACAGGGAACAGTTCCCAGCATACACTGGTCATGTAAAGGAAATGTTTTTGAATATACGTATTAAGATCAAGAAGGAAAGGATAAAGAGACAAAATGAGAAACATTCTCCGAAGCCCCAGGCAGAGCGTTTTCATGGAGACTGAGTGAACAACAGGTCCTCAGGCCACAGAGTCAGGTAAGCAGGCAAAGATTTATTCAAAGGTGGATTAAATTAGCAACTAGTAACTAGTGCCCCTTCCTTACACTAGACACAAAATGGCATTCCAAATGGAACACAGATCAAAATGCAACAGTAAAAACTATAAAATTCTTAGGAGAAAACAGAGGAGTAAACCTATGAGAACTTGATTAAGCACCAAAAAGGATAAGCAACAAAAAAAAGATAAACTGTACTTCCTCAAAAGTAAAATAATTTGTGCTTCAAAGGATACATAACAAAGTGAACAGACAACCCACAGACAGGGAGAAAATATTTGCAAATCATATATCTGAGACGTGATTTACATCCACAATATATAATGAGCTCTTACAGCTTAATAATGAAAATAACAATAAAAAACTGAAAACCATCCAGTGACGGCAGTGGATGTCACAAGGAGCACAGGACTTCCCAGGTAAGCCTTGCGTAAGGTCCCGATCCCCCAAATCATGAGATATGAGTAATAATGATATTAAGCTGTGAATTCCTAACATGGTCCGCTCTGCTGAAATAGGTAACTAAAATAATAATTCAATGGTGATAGGGGAGGAGAATGGTAGCACCCCAACAGTACTCTAGCCATTGTTCTTTACTTGTGTTTGAGCCTCTCGCCTCCCTGTGGTCAACATGCTCTTGTCTCCCTCACTTTATAGATGAGGGAAGCTAGGTACTACTAGGAGGAAGCTGCGGGCAGTTCCAGGCCGTCTGGCTGCAGGGCTTTGGTTCTTAACCTCTGGGCCATATTGTAAGTGAAGATGATGACATGGGGACATAGTGTCTCTAAAGGGACGACAAAGGATGGAATCAAGGGCACAGGTGCAAAGACTGGCCTTGAACAGGAGACCTAATCTTGGGAATCTGGGGCTGGCACCGTTAGCTTTTCAATGTGCATATAAATCCACTGGGAATCATGTTAAGATATAAATTCAGATTCAGTAGGTGTGGGTGGGGCCTGAGATTCTGCATGCCTCATGAGCTTCCAGTGATATCCGTGCCACTGAACTTGGACCACGGTGAACACCAAGGCTTTAAAGAATATTTTGTTTACACAAAAAATATTTTGTGGTACAAACAGCCTAAGAATCTGTTGAAGAAAACTTTTCTTCAAGAAAAGGATCAATTTGGATATTTCTCTTTTAAACTGGAAGATATGATAGAAATAACAGCATGTTTAAAGTGACGCCATTTCAAGGACTTAAAGTATGAAAATAACAGAGGACTAAAAGTCAGTGCAGTAAATAACGCAATAGCCTAAGTGCACTCTTTAAAATGTACTGTTCTCTAAACGTTTCCTTTAAAATACTTAGTTTAACCTGTTTACTTAAACCTAGTTTGTTCTAAAAGATCGATCCAAAGAACAAATGCTGCCTGACATTTCTTCATTAGATGTAAATGAAGCTGAACATCCTGAGCCAATGAGAAAAATGTTCTACATTCAGTGTTAAAAAAAGACAAAAGGATATAAACCATAGTATTATGGTTTCCCTATTACTAAATAAGTCCCAATTTTAATCCATTTTTGTCAGTAAATAAGGACACAAGAGCATTTCACAGGCAACTATAGCTGCTTCCTGGTTCCCAGGGCTGACTAAAAGAAAAGAATCTTTGTAAAACCAACACGTAAAGATAAGGCAGAGATAACTCACTTTTTATTACAAATTGCCATGTGAATTGGTAAGAAAAAGACTGCAGACAAGCATGCATCCCATTCCTTCAAAAAGGAAGTCTATAAATTTAAGTCAAAGTATACATATTCTGAGCCCAATAATCAAGAATAAACATAATTCCACTTTTAAAGTACAAAACCTCTATTCGGTTTGTTGTGAGCTATGGCTTCAGGTTTCATTAAGTTAATTTTTAAGAGTGTGTTAAGACAGCAAATTTTTTTTTAAAGATCTCCACAAAGAAGTTATTATTTAATCCAAATTTTTTTTAAATGGAAAAATACAGATGTAAAAAAATTCCGACAACATGTAGAGTAACTTAAAATATTTAAAAAGTAGGATCAATGTCCAATACACGGATGGTTGTAACATAAATATTAAAATCTCAATACAATATTATAAAACTGAAGATTCTTTAGTATAACATACATGAGAGGTTATAACATGTTTAAGTGAAAAACTATAAAATTTCCTCTTCTGTAATCTTATCGATATTATAATCACAGACAAGATAGCATCAAGGCCAACAAGCTGTATTCAAGTTGACTAAAAATTCCAGAGAGGCACTGATTAATGTTCCTCTATCTCAATAATCTATAAAGCTGCTAGAATTTGATCTGTGTAAAAGGTTAAGATGTCACGAATCTCAGTATGTGGATAACCTGCATCAGTGAAATCTCTGGGAACAATACTTTCAAGCAAGCAAGATATACACCCACAGAACCCACAAAAGTCTGATGAACCATGCAAACAAGACTGGCCTGCCCGTGTGATACCTCAGTCACCTGCCTTTCCCCATCACGACAGCTCACCTCCTGAACACGCAACAGCCTCCTAATAAGTTGCTCTACATCCAGACTCCTAACCATCCCCACATCAATCTAGTCTCCATAGCTAGGCCAGAGAGCACTGCAAAAGCTTGTCACTCACTCCCCTGCTTAAAACCTGACAGCTAATTGGAGGACCTTAGCTGGATGCTGACTCAAAAAACTGTAAAATAAAAATCCAAAAACGACATTTGAAACACTTGGCAATTAGAACACTAAATGGGCTTGGATGGCATCAAGAAACTACTGCTAAAAATTTTAGGTGTGAGGGCCGGCCGAGTGGCTCGTTGGTTAAGAGTTGACTTGGGAGCGTGAGTGCTGAGAAGCAGCGCCGCCAGTTTGGATCCCACATGGGCCAGTGGCGTTGCGCCCTCTATAGCTAAAATGGTGAACAACAGCTTGACCTGAATCTGGGCTGCCGTGAGTTGCCGGCAACGGTGTAGGCTGCAGTGGGGCTGCAGTGGGCTGCCATGAGCTACTGTGAGTGGCCGTCAATGGCTGGTGACCAATCTACCTCAGCCGGGAAGAGCACAATGGTCATAATACCAACATGGGCCAGTGAAGCGACGTCCTCCACAACTAGACTAAAGAAAAAAAGCAACTTGTGTGTTCCTCTTTCTCCATTCCCCAACACTGTTCCTTCCCCCAACTCCCCAATAAAAATCTTAAAAAAAATAAAATAAAATAATTTTAGGTGTGATATTATTATGGTCATATTAGATACTTACATAAATATTTGTGTATGAAATAACAGGACATCTGGAATTTGCCTAAAACATATATGGTGTGCAGAGGAAGAGTCAGGTTACATAAAAGAAACAAGACTGGCCAAGAGTTAATAATAGTTGAAGCTGGATGAAGGATGCAACATACACTACTCTAGGTTGTATGTGTCTGAAAAGCTCCCCAATTTTCCATGCTCTTAGAATAAAGTACCTCCAGACTTTACATATGCTGGTCTCTGCCTGCCTTCGGGCAAACACATTTCAGCACGTTCCTCCAGACAGGTATTCCTGATATAGGGATGAAAGGGTATTTTAAGATTAATATCCCTTTTCTAATGTCCCAGAAGACACCACTCTGCCTAGTGTCATTTATTGACCTGGAAATAACAAAGGGTACCCTAGAATAGTCTTTCTTAGCAAAGATATTCATTCCAGCCCCAGGGTGATTCATCCTCACTAATGTGTAACTAAACCGAGGATCAGAAACCAGACCAATTTTTGCTTCTCTGAGATACCTAATGAGCTAATTCCAAAGCTTTCAGGCAGATTCCATTATTTCTTAGCATTTCCCTTCTGGCACAGACATCCTGCTAATGGCTAACTATTCCAACCACTCACATGATGTACTTCCAAAT